CGATCATGTAAAATGAATCATTGATTGCTTACATAACACCAAACTTGCATATTTCACCAACATTTACTGTTGAGGTTACCTCAGGCGATGGTGCAACATATGTGATCAATTTTATAAACTCAGACAACACTGAGAAACTATTGTGATCACATATCTCACAAACTCAGTAACTTTAATCAGTCAACTGTGGTATCGGCAACCAGGCATCATATTTTGAGAAACGGGATGCGGTGAACTTAACAATTACTTATTCGAGTAATAATTGACTGTAAGCCCTTAAACTAAGTCAACAGCTTTCACAAGTATATTCTTGGCAGATATTGAGATCTTGCCTGAGCAATAACAAAATAATTGTGATGTTCAGGCCACTCTTGATGTTTCCTTCGGTTTTTTTAGAAAGTACTTGTTGTTGTTTTTCCGTTTACGAGCTGTGATCAATGAATAAATGTCACATGCAAAGAATTTTACTAATATTGCATGCTTTCGAAAAAAACAGTGGCAACAACACCTTCCTCCTTCTCCAATTGCATATCAACTGAATCAATGGAATGATAATGATAAAGCGCAATTCGACTTTTTATGGTTCGGAATAATACTCGGTATCTTACTCCAGACACACTTTTGGAAGGTTATAACTTATCAGTCGGACTCCAACAAACCACGATAGAGGTTTTCAAAACTGAAAATTCTTCGGAACTTTAGTTGTTGATCATTCAAAATGCCTTTACACTGATGAGTGTTTCTGAACAAAATGTACTGTATTGTTGGTGCGCTTCACAACCACCGTACTGTTAAGATCACCCAGTAATGTGTTAAATATCCACTTTCTTGTAGCTTCATTGGTAGTAAAATAAAATAGACGTTCAGATTTCAGTCAAATGATTGATGTTATAGCTGATTGTTCCTACACTGCTAAGAGGATGAAAACTAGTAACCTGACATTTAGGAAGTTTTCTAATCATTTGGAGTTAATATAAAAGCTTTTTGACTGATTTATTCACTGGTTAGCAATCTAGAAATTACACGATATAGTCTTTTGATAACTCCTTATGGGACTGACATAAATCCAATACCTGATCAGATGGCATTTAGGACTATTCTCGAAATGTCGAGTAATTTGCTACCTCAATGACTTCTTAAGTATTACTATATCTTAATCAATGAAATAAAAGTGCTACTCGTATACAGACTAAAAGAGTATAGCTAAATATTATCTGTGTTATAAGTAGAGGATAGAAACGGTCACTAGGCACCCAGTCAGTCCCTACAAATGGATGTAAGATAGCGCTCGCTGTGACACTAACTACCGTTGAGAAAGCTAATCTCTTAATGCACTCAACGGTTTAATTAATGGGAAACATCCCCCTTGGACTGTTGGAAATGATAATTTTAATGAAGCATCTCTTTTCAAATATCTCTTTATGAATGACTTTAGAAAAGAATATGGAATTCGAGGTGAAAAGTTGTAACAGTTTCTTGGCATTTCAACTGCCTCGACCAATGTTGTTGCCTATAAAGGATTCCATTTCTAGCCACCATTCATCATTAATTTGACCAATCTTTAAACAAAAACCAAAAGTGACGAATATTTGAGGCTCGAAGGATGGTCTTGATTGTGTCGCATTCTCTGAGCTGGGTTGTTTAATCGTCCTTCTAGACAACATCATCAGCACTAACTCCAGTATGAAGTGAACTGTCAATATCTCTCCGTGAATGACTTAGTAGCTTGCCCTGATGAACTGGTTTATGATTAACTATTTCCTTTGATTGTTGCGTCACTGACTGTATAGATTCTCTTGTTGGCTGTTCCTCTGCTTGACCTCTGCCCTTTCTGACGTTTATCACCTTTCTCACTGATTGATAGACTGTGTCTATATCTATACATCTATTGATTACTGACTGACCTCAATGCCAAGCTTCTAGGAATTCTCTGATATTTTTTGTCTTTCCTCTGTCCATCTAAGATTTCTACATTGTCAAAGTTGAATTCGTGTGCATTGAAATGAGTGACGAAATGTCGTGACGTTTAATAGCCAATTGGTGTTCATGTAGACGAAGGCGAAGAGGGTGACCACTTTATCCAATGTAGTGTTGACTACAGTTATTGAGGTTGATTTTGTAAATGACGTTCGACTTGTCTTCTTTGGTTGTTGCACCTTTTGGTCTGCATAATAGTGTTTGGAGGGAATTTGTTGGTTTACGAGCCACACCAATTCTAAGTGGTCTCAGTAATCTTGTTGTGATTTCTGATATGTTCTTTATGTACGGTGGGATGATGCGTTTGTTGATTTCTGTCGATGACTTTGTAGTTGATGATGCACGGGATAGGCATCTTCTGATAAAGTTTCGTGGGTAGCCGTTCTCCTTTAGGATAGGCATCAAGTAGTTGTCTTCGTTTCTCTGTGACGTTTTTGTACCACAGTGTGTTCTCGCGCTTTTGAATAGAGTTCGCCTGCAACTAATTTTGTCCATTGTTGGGTTGTTGCTACTGTAGTTGAGGATTTGATCAGTATGTGTTAGCCTCCTGTACACTTGGGTTTCCAGCTTCCCGTATTTGTTCTATTGACCAGAACATCCAGAAATGGTAGTTGGTTGTTCGACTCCTTCTCCATTGTGAATTTGATGTCATTGAAAACGCTATTGATCAAACTGTGAGTGTTCTCTATATCATCTTTTTTAATGATGACAAGAGTGTCGTCTACACAGCGAATCCAGAATTTTGGTTTGATCACAGGTAGAATGATGGCTTCCAGTCTCTGGATTACTGCTTCTGCAATTAGTCCAGATATCGGTGATCCCATTGGATTTCCTTTCATCTGTTTGTGTATCTTTCCATTGAGTGGGAAGTATGTTGTCTGACAGGAGTTGATGAGTTCCATCAGGCTTGAACATTTCGGTTTTGTGCGTTCATAAAGGCTTGTCTTCAGTGAGCAGGAGGGACATAGTTTCCTTGGCCAATTGGGGTTCCATGGGTGTGCATACTGTTGTGACATCGAACGATACCACTAACTCGCCGTTTTCCATATTAATGCTTTTGATCCGTACTAAGAATTCTGTTGGTGATTTGATGAAATGTCCACATGATTGAACCAGGTGTTTCAGTTTTCTCGAAAGTCCTCTGGATATGTTGTATGTTGGAGTTACCGGGAGTGAGACTGATAGTCTCTAGTGCTCTCTAACGAATTTTGGATAGATTAAGGGGTAAAGGCGACAGACAACAGTGGACAGTTTCATAGAATTCCAACAATAAAGTCAATAGTAAGTGAGACTGTAGCGGAAAGGGAAAGATTTATTATTTACTAGAAATGGAGACGACTGAATCGATGGATAGTACAATTCGATAAACAGTCCAAGCGACCTCCAGCAGTCTTCCGTTGCCTGCTACTCTGAAGGATGCTGAGTGGAAAACGTAGTAACACATATAACTCCGAGAATGCTTGAGAAAGCTTTAAGTAAAATGAAATGAGGAAGAGCAGCAAACTCAGATGGTGCTAATGCCGGATTTAGATTAGGACCAGTTACACTAGCCGAAGCAGTAGCTTGAGTATAAGAATGAGACATAATCCACTCTGACTGGTCTAAAGCATAGTTTTTCCTAACTCTCAAGAAAAGCGAGGAAGTCGCATTTGATAAACACAGGAGGGTCAGTCTGATGAAGTGTCCAAGATTCTAGGACTTATGAACACTAGACGCCAAAGTAAAGCTCGTGAAAAGCAAACTGGATAAAATCAGACCGGTGTCAGACCCGATTGTGAGTGTATAAACTACATCTCGAATAAAAGTTGCTACCTTGACATGTTGGTTGTGCTTGTACATCACAATGGTCCGACCAACTGTGCTGGTAGAACGCTAGTTCCGCCGAGGTGCTACCATACCAGAAAGGTGGTAAGACAAAGATTAATTACCGCTTTAGCCTAAATTACTACGTTGTGATGGGGGTCCGAAGGCGAAGCCGCACTACTCGATGGATTTGGTTGTGTCAGTGGTAAGGTGTTTCTCCTGGATGACTAGCAGTACCACACCAATGTTACCCTCTCTGTAGGAAGGAAGAGAGTAAAGAAGGGTTGGCTGCAGAAAAACATCCCACTGTCCTGCGGTATACCAGTGCCGGAGAGATGGCATCATAGTCGGAGTCAAGAGTAACAAGTACAAATGTAGAACTTCTAAAAAGACCATGTTCGACAAGCCTCACGAAGATGTTCCTTGGGCTCTGCGGCTACACATGAACCCTTCTTCTTCAGGTAACGAAAGAAGAAATAGCCTTACATGATGTGGGCAGCCGAAAAGTTAAAACCACCCACACGCCTCTAGTAGTGTAAAAAAGGTAATGAAACAACTTACACTCCTTTCATTTGAATACAACAGATGTAGTAAATCAAACTTTTTTGGACATTCAAACTCATTTATTACGCTCAGACATGAATTGCTAACTGTGACGCCGCAAGTGTATTATGATTCTTAAACAGATTACTGTTTTACTGCTAATTATCTTCATTTTTCAAATATGCTTCTCACAATGAATTTAACACTTAGTTTGTAGATTCGAAGTTTGTAAGTTTTAGTCTATGAACGATATCAATCAATCACTCACCGTATATAAGATAACATCTATCTATCAGCATGTGCAAAAATACTAATGATGGGTGCTGACTAGCAGTGGGAGTAACAATATAAAAACTATCCTCGTCGCACAAGAGGTGGCCGGCGTGACTCGGTGGCCTAGTGGATAACGCTGTGGGATTTCAAGCGATCAGCTCGGGATTCGAGTCCTAGTGAAAGCAACATCGCTCACTAGGAGGTAGGTACATCCAGCTGACGAACCCAAACAGAGCGAAACGTGCCTCCTGGATTCCACTTCTAGCCACTATCCATCATTAACATAGAACTGACACATAGGCAATATCGAGGTATCCACGCAGGAGCTTAAATGCCAATAGAGATCGATCAGTTTGGTCCAGGTTACATGTAACAACATGAAATATGCAAAATTAGTTTCAATTATTAACATCAAAATTGCCATATGGAATAAATGCGAAGGATAACAAAAACTGGAAACACTTTGTTTACCAACAAAGAATAAGACTAATAAATTGGAATAAAACTAAGTTATACATATTATTTCAAAGACACTAGAAGAATAAACCAACTAAGGAATTCAAGACTAGCTATAAGCTAAGTAAAGTAGAAATAAAACACAAACGGAAAACTGCATATACGGGTTTTATAAATCACAGAATTCTAGTTGTGACTTCCGTGCAGAACTATGCACACCCTGTCGAACATCCTTCGAATTTATAATAGATGTCGAACTAGCGCCATCAAAAAAAACAATTATTCCCAGTAATAAGAGCATCATTATGATTACCATTTTAAGAAATTTCATCTGAATATAATTGAATACTTGCAGTTTCTTCGGTCAAGCCAATGAAATCAACTTCAGACGATAAATTAAATGGATTTGATGGTATTGTAGGGAAACATTCAGCAGAGCAGCGATAGCTGTGTTGACTTCTTCATCTTCTCCACACGCGGTAGTCAAATGCTCATTTTCATCTAAACTGCTCCCTAAAACGGTCCCAATAGGATTTGTTGTACTGAATTCGTTGATATTTCCACCACAGTGATTGCCATGGTATTCTCTAGAACTTATCTCGAATGCCTGTGAATGGAGCTGACTATTACCTACTGCACCAGAATCCGAAACATTTGGGAATTGAAGATTTGTGGACAAAACGTAAGATTCCGGCCGAAGGGTTTTCGGGTAATCTGCTTCAACACAACCATCATGAACCTAAAAAATAATTTGGAGAGCACAGTATACAAGAAGGTAACGAATAAGTAATTAGAAACTATGAAGTATGATTTTGATATCTGTAAGTCATAAAGCAGCAGGCATGACAACCATAATTTCAAATAATCAGCCTATCACAGGATACTGTTAGAAATATATGTATGTCTAATTTCAAAAATAGGCATGGTCTTTTGAGGGAAGTGTCTTGACAGTTGCAAAATTCCTTATTTTATTTTCATTTTTATTTCATTTGTTTTTATTTATTTAAAGTTAGGACAACCATTTGGAATACTTAGTGCATCTAATATAAGTGAGTAAATATGGCCTTCTAAGAACTCCTGTTTCGATCTTAATGTGTGACAGTCTAGCAGTGGTGTTGTTTGTATAAGTGCATTTAACACATATCATATACTGGACTGTTTTGATGGGGTCCTTCTTAGAAAACATTTCCAAAAGGAACCACTAATTTAAACACGACGTGACCTGATGAACTTACAACCTTTCCAGCCATTGCTTTTATTCTATTTTCAGGGTTAGATATGTTTCAGAAGATAAGCTATTCTACTGGTTGCATCACTCAATTCTATTTTAAGCATTAGCCCTAGATTCACTTGTATCTCTTTTTGACAAATTCTGTATAGGTTGTTGTAACAAAATGCTGTAGACTGTTGTAAGATGAATGACAGAAAATTTTAAAACCTAGAGTGAGTATACCCCATTGTTCCATGGTCATCAGTTGAACATACCTACAGTGGAATGAAGACTATGTAGCACATCAAAGCAGTTATGTGAGGAAGTGAAGTGGTTATTTCAAATTCAAACTCGAAAAGCGATGTTGTGGTTTGAGTTTAGACAGCACCATGCATTTCTTTCAAAACGAGAGTTCCTACATGATAAATCTCAAGCAGAATGAAAATAAGCTTTTGAGCTTCTTTATAGGCAGCCGACAAAACTATGAGATTCATTTCCTTTAACATCTAGCCATATGATTTGTGAGACCAAATCACTATACATCTTGATTTCTCAGTGTGTACGAAGAATTATATAACGTGTCACGATCAAAATCATCTGAGTGTATAAACATACCCGTGGAAAACCAGAAATTTCATGTTTGATTTAAAGCACGTGTGTACCAGTTTATCTTTAGGTGGAATACCATAAGACTTTGCCTGAAAATTCTCCATATGATTTTAGCCTATGGCGAGCCGATGATCAGTTGTCTGACGTTTTACAACAGAAGCTGTCATGAAAGCGACTGGATTTGAGATAATGCAGTTGCTTAAGACTTCAGGACGACCAGATATCTGAATTGGTGTGACGTAGACAAAGTGGAGATGCATTGATAATAGAAAATAGTATCGAAATCAAAATGCCCATTTAGTATTATGTCTTACGATTAGCGATAAACCCAATCATTCAACAAGAAAAAGGTCAGAATGCCTTAAGAATTGAAGCCAGGTTTTCAACTAAATGCCTTTTCCTAACCTAGGGTACACCACTAGTATGAACAGTGAAGGACTAAGAAATCTCAAATCGTTACACAAAACACATTTGCTAACTTAAGTAGTCATGGGGCTTAATTTACGTACATCATGTGTGTAAGATTGAGGCGATTCCGGCTGATGCTGTGAAAAGCTTATCAAATTACAAAAGTCTGGAAAACTTGATGAAATAAGGGCTTATCAAGTGATTCTACCGACTGAGTAGTAGGAAACCGATAATCTTCTGAATATTCACTAGTATATCTATTCTCTATAGTAGAAGAATTGTTTTTCTGTTTGATGCTACCAAGTTCATGCTGCTCCATGGTAGTGGATGAACACAACCGGCTGTGCTCAGAGTTTCCATATTCATTGTCACTACAAAATTTTTGAAATGCTTGATCAAATGAGTAACAACAGTCTGGATTTCGATGAGTTGTAGTTTGATCTTGGTTCGCTGTTTGCAGGGATAGTGAGTCTTGTAATGTAGGTAGCACAGTAACGAAATCTGGGTTATCTACATGCCCATATTTTTCAGCAGATGAATAATCTGATAAGTGGTCCATAATCCGAAGCTGAAAAAGTAAGAGTATTAGAAAGTGATAAAAACCACAAGATCGAATAAAAGTTTAAGTGATGGATGAGTTTTATAACGAAAAGAATAGACAACACCAGTTTAGTGAAAAATGAATGCATTCGCCCTTTCTCATAGAGAACAAAACTGATAATGACAATAACAACAGCAACCAATCTCTAAATGTAGCATTTCTATATAAGGTATACAGATGCTATCGAGAAATAACCAACAAGATCCCAACAAGTGAATACGTGGTTACCTCCATATAACTTATAAGAAACGTGTTCCTTTTTATAGCTTCACTACACCAAGAATAAGATGTAAGCACTTCAAATCATCATAGAGAGAGGAATAAAACAATCCATTTTGATTTCGCGAAGCTTCATTAGTGTGGAATTCACCATTAATATTTCCAGCTTAGTATATAACAAGCAATTCTGTTCCAGCGCATAAGTTCATCCATCAGACTATGCTGAAGCGTTACTACCTGTTGTTTAAAACCTATCAGGTGAGGTAGTCTTAAAAAATGTAACTTAACGAACTCACAGCTCTTATGGCATCATAACTTGTATCAACTGAATAAGAAATGATGTCAAAAAACTGAGTTTTCGTCCGCATCCAAAACATAGTTTGGTAAAAAGTTATGCGATGAATGAAGATACACAGCAGTCCAGATGGCTATGACATGGTATAAAAATTAATCTTAACTATTTTTTTACTGTTAAACGACGTACATTTTACCAATTATAAATGAGCAAGAAAATATTCAGGCTAATTCACTATCCTTTATGACGAGAAATTCCGTCAGTATATTGAAAATATACATAAGACACCAAATCTTATCTTCACCAATGTAAACCAAAGTAGGCTGAAGATATCACTGAATAGGCTAGCAGGTTTTCAATGGTTCCCCAACTGATGTCAATCCGTAATGAATACTACCTCATAATCGAAAGTATGACACCAATCTATTTACGACCTCCTGAATAGAAAAATAAACTCTTTTATGCACTGTTAAACAACCAGCTGATTTGTCGACATTTCCTTCTTCACCACTGCGTTGACTACTGTAATTTCTGAGGTGGTACGATAATACAATAGAAACAATTAAGTACGCCAATCATTTGGAAAATGTTTTTGGCTTATTTAATGGATGGCCTTTCCATTAGTAAAACTATATGGGATATAAAGGAATGGTAACTTCATGTTTAAATGTTACTTTCTTCGTAGTTGGTCAGTTTTTGTGCAAGATACAACTCTAGAAAATTAGCTAAAAAATGAAACTAAAATAAACTTGAAGGAGTCAAGTGAGAGTAGTAATATACACTTGAAAATATAAGAAGCTTGAGTACTGAATACAGTCACACAACTCGCACCCATTCCAGAGTATATTTTCTAAGGTCGCAGATCACTGACTTCTAGCAACTCAAAAACTGCCACCTTGTAGCCAAAATGATTCAGATTATTGCTAAGAAATGCCGCTTCTGAACACAGGTTTACCATCTTCGACTCATTTCAACTGCTTCGATGAAAACAATCAAAACATTTTCTACCTTCATTTTTCAAAGCAGGTGGAAGTGTAACCAAGAATAGCGTAATTGGCAATATTAGTGAAATTTACCTTACAAAACATTCATTTCCTTCCAATCAATCTGCTGCTTTTTCATTCAGCACAGAAAAATGATACAAAGAATTTATTACATGGTTTTCCTTCCTGCTGGAGGTTCCTGAAAACAATATTGCCACCAGTGATACCCAGTGCATGCAAAACTCACGAAGCATTCGTCGTTAAATACTTACGACTACTTGCTTTTTTGACTGAAAAAACATTGAAAGGTTGATCAAGTTTAGATCGTTAAATATGGATGTCTACCATATAGTTAGTAGATTAAACTATTCACACTTCCTGGTTACAACTATTAACACGATACAGAATTTTACACGATTTCGAATTTACTTATAGTAAGCAAAGTGTCTAACATTCTTTTTCCCACATGGATTGGAAACCAAACGGAAAAGTATTTGTACTTTTAGGTAAAGAAAATGAGTACAGTTTTAATTTCCAGCTGCGAGATACAAAAATAAGTGTTTATTCTCCGAAGTACTCTTATGGTTCAAGTATTTTCCTGTGCTTTTTCGAAGTTCCAAGCTAAGTTTATTCCATATCCTTGCATGCCATTGAAGAATCAGAAAACACTAACTTTTAGAAAGCTTATCTTAATGTTCAGTACTTTGAAGTATCTCATGACAGTGAACACACAAGTAAATAAAATGCTCCAACGTTTGATTACAAATACCATTCTAAAGGAGAACAACAGAATTTGCATCTACAGCATTTTGCAATATAAGGTAGGTTGAATACATTTTGAATATTTCTAATAGGTTGATTAAATTGTAAGCGGCTAATGCAACTTTAGGTAGGACCATAGGAAAGGATCAAAAATGTATGTGTCAGTAAATGCGCTCAATAACCAACCAGTAAATTGACATAAGGCGAATGTTTACAAAAAGAAAGCAGGATTCGTCCACATAGAACCAGAAGTATGTACTTCAGCCAATTGACATCAAAGCTTGAACATATATTCATCGTCTCAATCAAGTGAAACTAACTAATTAAACTGCAAATACTTCCTAAACCTTGAAATACGTGTGACTAATAGCTATATGACACATTGATCGCTGAATACTATCTGCAATATGCTGACATTTTCCAGAGAACTCTTCAGTGAGACTCCTTCATAGCTATGATTACCTTGAGTGTCAAGGAGCTACAGGGATAATGGAATTATCATGTGTTTATCATATTAACATCATCAGAATAGTTCACAATGCATAAATGGTTCTTCATCGGAAACGTAACACATTTATATGTACACACGTCTTCTGAACAAATAAGACCTAAATTTATGGTTTTAGTCAAGTGATGATTTCGTCATATCTGTTACCATCAGGCTTTCATGCTCAAAAAGAATATGAATCCACACTATTTAGTGTGTATTATCATCCGAAACCTAAATGACGTACAAACTTCAAATATTCGTGATGGTAGTGCTTTAGGAGTGCTACCTCAAAAGTTTTTTTTAAACATCATTTATAAACCGTTCAAGTGATACCTGAAATGAAAACCAATACTATAGAAAGTGTCATGGCTAAATGTCATCCACGTTTGTTACAGATGTGACAATTTAGACTTAATGGATTACACTACATGAAATTATGGGGCAACACATAAATAATTTGGTATAATTAAGGGTCATGAACGTGTATATACAATAAAATACAGAACACACCCTAGTGATAGACTCTAATATCTTCTCCAAACATCTCCCAAACTCCTCGATAATTATTCTTTCTTGAAGAACACTGGGAACGTTCTGCAGTGTGGCTTCACTGAGCACAGCTATGATACGTCTGCACATAGCCTCAACAACTTCTGATGTATGGAATCTAAAAAAATATGCTTCAAAAGGTATGTTGGTAAATAACTTACAGAGAGCTATCAGGTATATATTCATAAGAAACGTTTGGTAAGGATGTACCTATTATTTGACCAAACGCCTGGTTAGCATGAGGTAACCGGATATAGTTCTCCTTACTGCAAAGCAGGTCTTCATCATACATTAAACAAGATGACCTATTGTGGTTGAAAATTAGCAGAAAGCTTACTTTTTATGAAGGGGAGTTTCCTGTCTTGCAGTAAAAAAAGGTTTTGCCTGAAAATTTTTTTGCATCCTTCCTTCCTCAGTGTTTAGACAGCCCTGACACCGACACAGATCAGAACAACTGATTTTCGCCTACATACAAAAAGGTTTACAAATAAATGTAACAAAACCTCATAACATTCACAGTAGTTCTTTAGGCACCCGGATCGTTTACAGTTGCATCCACTAGGATGTCGACGCTCTCCATCGCCTTTAATAAAAACGAACATAAAGAAGTCTCTTACCTATCTTTGGGTGGAATGCTAGTGGATTTCTTTCCAAAGTACGTTTTATTGCTCTTCTGCGATCTCCCTCATGAAGATAGTTATTCATACAGTTTCTGCAGTTACAATTATCACACGCACAACCTCGAGCGAAGCACTCACAGTATAGTTTTAAACAGTGAGACTTGGCACAATTACACGGTTTTCGATAAAATACAGAAGATGAGGAACCAAGGTTGTTACAATTATCAGGATTATTCACTGATGGTTTTTTTACATAATACGTATTTGCTCCACTATCAGCCATTTCCTAGACCAGAATATATAATATACGTATCAGATTAGCTTACATTCTCCATGTTTACGTCATTTGTTTGATGAACTATTGTGTACTTCGAGTTGCTGGTTTCGTCACTTCCTATAAACAATCCATTGAAGCTTTGAGACTCTCCTTTGTCAGCATACATGTTTTCAGCACTTAACAGACGTTTTACATGAAAATGTACGTTGATCACGATAACACCTCAAGACAACTTCAAAGGTTGCGGGCAAGATCAAAGAAACAACCTATGGACAGCAGAAAGTAAAACAAAGATGTGCATATCCAATACCTACCGTCAGTAGTAAAGTAAGTGGCATCAAAATGGTCTGCAGTTTTGAGTCTAAGTCTTATAAAGCGATGCTTCTGTATACTTTTAATCCTTCACAGAAGGTAGAATTCTGTTCTACTTTCCTATCTATAGCTCAGAAGTTTTAACTTGTCTGTCTTTAATACGATATGCGAACTAAGCATGTAGATTGACTGAGGGGCTACTTATCGCTTGTGTTTCGCGATCAAAATCAGTTTCCGCACAGGTTCTTTGGCATGTACGGGGTGAAAAGGCGCGCTTTGGAAAAGGGAAATGACTTTTCACGCTCAGTTAGGTTCTTGGAATTTTTCGTATTTGCACATCGAAGAGTATTGTATTTTTGCTCCAGTGGAAATATTATGAGACTAAAGTAGGGCAGTAACTTTCCTGGGTGGACTACTCCAGTGTCTGCGACGCAGTGGACCAAACACTCCTTAAAAATACCTGTCTTATGGTAGGGTGCCACCCCGCAGTAGCCTCTGGTATGCAGCGTACCAAAAGCAAGGGGTGGTTCTACAGTAATTGCACAAGCCCTGAGCTCTCAGCGTATAAGAGATACAGTAGCGCAGTGTCTGGCATCGCATATTTTGCTGCTACGACGTTCACACGCTGGTAGGAGAGGCAGAAACATTCCTGAATACGATAACGAAGAATCTAGCGTCCAAAGAAAAAATCGATGGCCGTGATAGCGATAACGGCACAGCACCCATTGACACACAGATCGTTGCGCAAAATTTTAAGAACGCCACACTACAAGCTGCAAGTGGGGTGGTTAGACTGCAGCGAATCAGAAAAAACTACACAAAGCAGGGTGAAGTGAGGGTCTTCAGTCTCTTGCATCCCCACGACTGGCAGGCTCAGCACAAAACCATAAGACTAGATCTACTTCTGATGAACGAGGCATGAGTGAAGCGCCCGCAGTGCCAACCACGGAACCACGCAGTCACAGGTCGTATTCACTTCGGGGACCCAATCACCGACGAAAACTGCACAGAATCGGACGCATGTCCATCCTGAGGCTATCAGTGTCAAGGCCAATGGACTGGGTGGGCCTTTAGCAAGTCCTACATACTGGACTCCGAGAAGTTGCAGGTAACCAATTTTAAACGGCATAGCAAGAAGCCATTATTAGTCATCAAACCAACTATCGTTACCTCGCAGAGCAAAGATAAAGCAAAACTCCTTGATAGGTGTGTAATCCTCCAAAATGGGGAAGGAAGTAGAGACCCCCAACCACGTAAGTGCTTCAGACATGACCTTGGCAAAGTACAAGGTTTGATAACCAAGAACTAACTGGAATGCATACTATGAATGACCCACTCAAGATATACAGAGTAGGCAAAAAAGAGGCAGTCCCTACTGAACAGAGTTTTGGATACTTAAAAGTCGTGTTAAAATCAACCGATGGGAGTGGCCAGATTTCGAAGGACGCCCACAGACTTTAAGGATCCTCACTTTCTTTTAGAGGTGATAAAAGTAATATTTATTCCTGAATATACAGGCACACACCACTTTTACAAGCATGAATAGGTTTCTACATGAAGGTGTAGCGTCATACACTTCCCCAAAATCAATAGCCTAGGGTTTGACGACTTTTGACATTGATGCTGACCTTGATAGTTTAACTGGACTCGCTAAGCTGAAGGCACCCGGTCAAGCATCCTGGCCATTTGGCACGCTGTCGTGTTACGTTGCATGGCTCGTATTCGACTCTCTAGCTAGTTAGTTGGAAAGCATCGGTATTTTGGCACAACCATCCAAGTATACTATTCCATCCGACTACGCTATCGTGTTCTTCCTTGGTCTCGTATTCGTGGGTATATAACAAGTTCGAATAATTAGTGATTGGTCTTTGCGTCTGTCAAGTTCGCACCAGGACAAATCCTAAAAAGGTAGTCTCAGTCCCCACCTTTTCTCACTGGAAGACATAAATGCTGCATGTTCATATGATGGAACATCCCAGCAGGATAATTATGCAGAAAATTTGCAAGTTGAACAGGTGGAAGCATTGTCTTAGCATTCACAAAAAAAGCCAGGTTTGTATCTCGACACTACATGTAATACCTGGAGAAAAATAAGGCCTAAAGCTAATACTTCTATTGCAACAGTCTTCCTTTTTCTTGAGATTATGGTGAGAAGTTTATGAGGGAATGTAGTCGCGAATTGTTTACTTATCGTACTTCATTGATGATTCCGGAACTGTATAATTCATGCACGTTAATACCATTCCACACCAGAGATTCGTAGTGTTGTCGAATATTACTACTGAGGGTCAAATATCTTCTTTTTTTCCAGCTCCAGCACCCAGAAGCATTTAACTTGTTTGAATGCGCTAAGTGGGCTTCTACGAAATCTTGTCCGGCTTTTACACCAGTCGTGACAGCCTTGCGGTCGGTAATTGTTGGGTTTTCCTGGTCACTTTTGTAATGAGTAAATCCTAGCTAAAGATAGTCATGGAGTTTTAGTCCAGTGAACATCTTTTATTTCTGCTTTTTACAGTTGGGTATTGTGGACGCAGTAAAGCTGGTTACCCCCTATGAAGGGTGGTTCCAGCCGAGATGTGTTCTTCAAATAGTTAATTCTCGATTACGACCAAGCCAATACTTAGAACTGAACTGCTTTTCTACAACGAGAAAAAAACAGACGAAGCAGCAGGAAGAGAAAGAAGCAAGAACTCCGACAAGGAGAGTGTTATCTATGCTGTTGTTTCTCCCTACTTAACTTTCCTTGTTATGGCATTCACTGTATGTTTTTTCTATTGAGTACTTAAGAACATGAATTTCATGCTGTCGTGTAGTGTAGGAATACTGTTTTTGATCACTGTGTCGGGTAGGGCAGAATGCGCCGTTAGTTTGAGGTCATAACTTTTTGAAGCTTCCCCAACGCTCATATGAGAAACCAGTGTAGTTGTGGTGGATGTCTCATCATACATTAGGAGGGTCCAGTATGCGAAATTTCATTAATGATGCTGTTAGTGTGTTCGGTAAGCCGGAAAAGTTGCCAGCTCATAAGAATCTGACTGACAACCAACCAAATTCAGAGGTTGATTTTTAGGCCTTCACTTTAGCAGGAAGCCTCTTCCACAACTGAGAGAATTTGACGGCAAAGAAGTTCGTGCGCAAGCAAGACTTGAACGACTTCATTTTGACGCTATGGGCGTGGTTGCGCAGATCGTCACAACTGTTGTGTTCGAACAGAAACTTACCACTGGCTGTAAACGTGTGTTTACGTAACACATTAAAGAAGAATGTCAGCTTAATTTGAGTCGTCTCATCCAAAGTGGTTCTGGATGTAAGGTTCTGCATCTGGAGCTGTAGTCCTGTTTGCAATCGTGTCCTAATAATCTAGCTGTGAGATGCCAATGGACACCCTCTATTTTTTATCTGTCTTTTATGTTGATACCACTCAATATAAATGGACAATATTCTAACAGTGGACGAATACAAGTTTTATGGAGCAGTAACCTGACTTCTTTGGGGTGAAAGTTGCGAACCTTGAAACCCTTTAAAATCCTAGATTTACGAGTCTGTGCTGCCAACTGTTCAGAAAATGTGAGGCCCCTTGAATATCCTAGTCCAAGGTCACATACACCTTTAAGAACAGGTAGTTTCGTAGACCGAAGATGTGGTTGGATGTCCACCAATGGGCACAAAAACATACCCGGCCACATTTGCTTAAACTGAACTGTAGTTTCCAAGCATACAAAAGTGGTGGTGTCATTACGCTAGAAATACGCTGACTGTAAAAAGCTGTAGAAATGGTTGCATATGAAACTGGGACGTGTGAAATGCAGCGCTGCCCTCTGAAATGCAAGGGGCCAGATGTCAGTGCAACGGTAGTACATCAATGCCTTTGATGTGAGGTAGCAGACTTCTCTTGAATAAGCTGACCCTCCGGAGGGAAAATTGTCGACGAAACATCAGTTGCCTGCGACAGACTAACGAGAGAAGCATCACGTAACTCGTTTGATCATGAGTGGAAACGCTGATTTCCTGGCTAATACACTGCACATCAGGAGAGCAACCAGATACGATCGTCAGCAGCCTCCGTCAGTTCTGGACTGTGGATTCTCATACGCAGAGGACGGATGCTTCGTCTAGCACCCTGAACCCCTTGGTAAAGGTGATCACCTTCAGAATCACAGCAGCTCTCTTGAACCAGGCGGATGCCCCAGCCAGACCCATTGTATGGATAGCGAGCAACGAAGTTACTAACTTGTAGCCTCTTCAGAGGGCTACACAGTCAGTGCAAAAGCTTCATTTGAAACTGGAAAATAGGGCTTCAGTGGCACGTCACCGTTTCGCTCACTTTTCTGAAGCCTTTTCAGCTTGGCTCCACGACTGCCAATAACCCTTCACTTCTTAATCACACGATCTCCATATCACCATCAGACGACCGATTTGTTGTTTCCCATTTCGGTTCCACTCGAGGGACTGGCCCTGAGCGTGATGTTCCCAAACGGTCTTCTCAGTGTATGTCCAATCCAATCCATCTCCACTTTCTTCTACATACTTGTTGGGCGGTAGGTTCTTGGTTGGTCTGTTGCCAGTCAGCCAGAGTGTCCTATTGCCTATTCCTTCTGGCCACTTGATCTTCAGTACTGCGTGAGTGTAGGTAGCAGCAAGTGATAATGTCTGTAGTTCGTCGGAAGTGCTTTTCGTGACGTGCCAAGTCTCTGAAACACATAGAGACCCTGGCCTGACATTGGTGTTAAAAATCAGAATCTTGTATTTTACGCCGAGTCCAGTAGGTCCACACACTGTTTTCAGATTGATGGAAGCCTATCTCGCTCTTCCGATCCTGGATTTGACGGCCTCGCCTGTGCCGACTGCAGTTGAAACGATTCTGCAGCTTATACCCGTCTTCTCACCCCCACAGTTTGTCGCATGATTCAGTCCAGTAGACCACGATCAGGA